ATTAAAAATTATACATGGCATTCCACTAACAAAAACAAGAGTTACATAAATGATTATGATGTTTACTGAAAGTTTAAATATATTTTTGTTAATTACTTACCACCATTTTGTAGTTTTCGTCCTCCTTTAGCTAACTTTTCTAGTTCTTCCAGGTCAATATCTGGCCTTACAGGATTTTTTCATAGAAAGTGTTTATGTAATTCTGGTAACACTGTATTTTAGTTTTAATCCACCATTAGTATTAACTATATTAATAAATTCACACTGGCAATTAATATTTGGGATATCCTGTATTCTAACGTCACTTATAGGTCCTAAAAACTATAAATATAGTAAAATTTGTTTATTTTCATATAGAACATACGATGCAATTAATTTTTATTAATTGACTTACCTCTTACAAACAAACGATAACAAAAAAATTTGTAGGAATTGTAGGTTATGTTATTCTTCTTCTTTCCTTCTATTTTAGTTTGATAATGTTTTTTGACCTAAACATTCAACATTAGTGCGTTTGGTAGCGAATTATTAGATCAGCATCTGGGAAAAATTCATATAGATATGTATATAAACTTGTTTTTACATGTATTTGGTGTAAATTTTTACTTGCAAGCATTTAGCACATTCTCAGAATATGAGGTACATGATGGGTATATGACTTTTACTATCTTCTAAGAATGTCCTGTTATAGCACATATATACTTTTTGGAATATACTTTTAAGGCACGTACTAAGTATATACTTTCTAGAATATACTTTCAAAGTATATTCTAGGTATGTTCTAAGAACATTCTAAAAGGATATACTAAAAAGAACTTAAACAGAACGTTCTTGGTATATTCATAGAACATTGATGTTATGTGGGTTTTAGTTTTTAGTTTACAATTTGCGACAAGTCAAAGCTTGAGTCGGCCGTTCGCGCCGGCGTAGTTTGGTCTCTAAAAGGATCCGAGACTGATATTGATGATTCGAATACGAATCCTTTAGGATTTTCTCTGCGAATCCGGATCACGGATCCTTTTTTTCTAAAGTATTCGAATCCCGCTCTCGGATCCTCAAAACGGATTCGAATCCTGGATTCGAATCCTATGTAATTCGAATCCTCCCCAGCTCTGTTACAAATGTTTCAATATGCTAACTTTTTAATTTGCAAAATTTTTTTTGTCATCATTTGGTAGTTTTCTTATAAAATACCTCCACTAATCCAGGCTCCAATTTTAAAATGTTACTTGCGCATATTTAAAAAAAAAATTCCAGTTAAAAACTGGAAATCTGCCCAATCTAAAATAACAGACAAAATGATTTAGAAAATATATGTTTTATTAAGAAAACTTACCAAATCTATTCAAATATGTTTAAAACAATTTTTCTAGCAAAAATATCCAAATATTCAATAAAATTAATTTTAATTTTAAAAACATTTTTATTTATTTTTTGCGGCATAAACCATATCATAAACGTTCATGTTGGTTTATGCCACGAACAATCAATTTTTCTATAGTGACCGACCAGACTCTGTACTGATGATCATCAACCGCACGGGAAATATCGCAATGTGGTTTTATATGAAATTAGTCTATCCTGTAGTAATAGTCCAGTAACTGAAAAGTCAAACCTGTAGAAAATTCGCTGATAAGTTCCCACATAGCGTAATTTGTAGGTCATCGCAGGTGTTTTTAAACGAGAAAATTCTGGTTATGTTGCAGTTGAAGGGTCTGGAAATGGGCCAGTGCGCACCATTCCTGTTCCGGCTAGTTCTGCCAGTCGGAATCGTTACGGAGTTGCCAGGTTATATTTAATTATTTGGAACCAGGAAATAAGCAGATTGAAATAACTATTTTACTTTTAATCATCTATTTACCAATTTTTACATCGATTAAAAAACCCATAAAAATAAAAAAATGTTCTGAAGATTTTCAAGTAATACGATCGTTTTTTAATGTGAATAATACCTTTCAATAGTGATAATTACAAAATTTAAATCTAAAATCTATCAAAACTGTTTTATAAAACAAAACAGAATTGTTATTTCAAAATATAATATGAATCTTTATATTTATTTATAATACATTTTAATGTACAGAGGTTACAATTTGGTTGAAAAATAAACTATAAAATAAAACAAGCTGAAATTAAAGTGGAGATTTGGCAACGTGGTTTGTGCAAATTCAAATTCTAGACGTCAGTGAAGAGTGGTGTGAACGCGCGAATTTCTAGACCCGTCAACTACAACATAACCAAAATTCCTAACGCGTTTTTGGTACCAGAAGAAGCTGAAAATGGACCCCTAAAACCTGGAAAATGGGTTTCCCGCTAATATCTGACTGAATACGCCAATTAGAGAATTTTTATTTAGACAAAAAATTAAGATTAGCTCATTATCTACAAAAATGGCTCTTATCATTTTCTTCGAATATTCAGTAGTTTTCGAGATAATGGCACTCAAAAGTCCCCTCATTTCAGCTGCTGCTCTACCTGTAGGAAGTCCGCTTTCTATAAATTAATGTGTAAGCGGGCAGACGAATTGTTCCATATCTCGGGAAAAAATTGATATTTTTCGATGATTCAAAGTTCATCGCAATGGGAAAACCCGTAGCTACAATTCTATGTGACTTGAAGTCAGTTCGTATTTGCCAAAAATATTTAAAAAAGCGGTCAAAGTTTTTTCAACAATATTTAGAGACTGCTTCATTCATTTATTCATATTTTTTTTAAAAATAGTCATTTATTCTAATTTTGCCTTTATAATAGGACCTTTGGGGGTCTTGAATGATCTCAGAAATTTTTTTGTAATACTTTTCTTGCGTTTTAATACAAAGTTGATTTGTTTATTTACATGTTTTAGCCGATTTCGGAGTTCCATAAAATCTTCGGAACAAGCGCGAATTATAATCATATGATCCGTTATATTGATTTTCATTGCACATCATTTTAAAGCTTAGATGGTCTACTTTTCGAAAATATTTTTTTATTTTTAATAGAGTCTAAAAATTTTTGAGAAATGAGGAAAATTGATCACACGAGTGAAAACCGGCGTTTTTTGTTTAACAATTTCTTGTTCCCCGCTCTTTATTTTTTGAGAATTAATAACTAGATCAAAGTAAAGCTTTCTGACCTTTCCAGTGATACCTAACCTCGTGTACCCACGCGGCGATAGTTGTCTGCATGTTGTTTGTATACATCTCTGTTTTGGAGTCGTCGGCTTGACCGGATTATTGATGTACTGATGATATTTTTTCATTATTTATTTTCAATTATTTATTTTTTATTTAACATAAAATAAACATTTTTCATTAAATTAATACAGTTATAAAAAAAGAAGTGTTTAAAGTGAGACATTTCCACGTTATTCTTATCTACAAGAAAGAATATTTAAGGATTTTTTTGTTGGAAGCAGAAAATAAGGTTTGTTTTATTTTGCCTCAACTTTAAAAACTTGATGTAATTGTTCTAACGGTTGGATCATCTATTTTTTGGCAGCTCTTGATGTTGTTGAAATGGAAGCAGATTCCGTTCCAGAATGCTTTTTTTGTAAGGAGGGTGTTGTGGACAACGGTGTAAATGTTACTCACGGTTTAGAAAATTTGATTCGAGTGAGCAAGAAGAGATGCGATAATTTGCAGAATTCTTCATGTTTGAAAGCAGGTCTGAAATGCTCGTCCATCTGTGGTTCGTGCCAGTTGACACAATGTTCAAATTATAAAAGAAATGAAGGTATATTCCCGGAAGAATTAGAGGTGGAAGTAGAAAGAGAGAGAAAGGACGACAGGGGAAATAATAAAAATGGAGCAAGAGGGAGTAGGCGACGAGAATACCGTTGACGATGAAGAATACGTATATGATTCTGATGACTTGGAGTGGTTGACCACACTCTAAAGGTTGTTATGTATGTTTTATATCCAACCAAGACTTCCTAATAAATGTAATTTTTCAGACTTGCGTATTTTTTCCGAAATCCTGCACCCATATTATTCCGAAAAAAGTTTGCAAAAAAATCGCAAAAATGCGAAAAATTTTTAGAAGGGTTGTATGGTGAATATTCACCACACTCTAAAAGTTGTCATTTTTTTTTAGCCAAAACAACGGGATTCAAGATCTTGGCACAAGGAAAAATAAATGTTTGCAATTTTCTGGTAAATTTGCAACTCAAATTGCACAGAACATTCGCTAATGCAATTGAGAGAGCCCAAGCGCTACTTTGCAGAAAAAAATCAGGTGAAATCCGCCAGTAATTGTCGAATAATCGATTATTTCCGAGATTTTCATTTACGGACTCCGTAATTTAGCGAGAAAAGCAAAGGAGCTGGCGCCATCTGCAATTGGTCTCTAAAGTCCAAAAGATGAAGATTAATGCATTACCAACCCCATCGAGCGGAAATTCGGCAAGAAACTACCATATCTATATGAAAATTATGGATTTTTCGAAGTCTGATTTTGCAAAAAATATTGACATTGCGAAAAAATTGGTAGGGATAATTTTTGTAAAGAATGAGCTAATCTTCATTGAGCTACGTGGGAACTCATCAGCGATTTTTTACAGATTTCGATCTTTTCAGTCCTTCATCTAGTGCCACAAAAGAAAATAATCGATTTCTATTGTAGAAAACGATAAGTAGAATTCTACATGATACATAGTACCAGCCCAGGATCTTTAATAATATCCGTATCCCACGTGACAGCCGTTGGTAAAAATTAAAGTAAAAATTTCTAGATGTGTGCCAGTGCCGTAGGCCTTTTTATAAAAAATAGATCTTTTCTTTTTAGGGTCTGCGTAAGTGTATTTGTCAGCGATATGCTCAGTGAACAAACCTTTTACTCTGTGTATGTAAATTTATAAATAAAAAACATTTGGTTTTTAATATTTTTATTACGAAAAATAATCTATATATTTGATACCTGCATCTAGGTTGGATTGTATCGGTTGCCAGTTATGTGGCCCATTTCTATTAGTCTGCTATAACCATGCTCTAAAATGTTTTAAAAGTAATTTAATAAACAAACCCCCGTTTATGTTTATGTTTAAACATTATTTTGTATTCATTTTCGTCTTTATTTATTTTTGGCTTTTTAATAAGTAAGAAACGGAGGATGCCCATATGTATCATAGACACTCTCCCAAAATTCCATTTGTTTGTGTCTATAATTTTGTTGCAGAGACAAATTTTTATCTATCTGCATATATGTGATGTTGCTTTGTGATGTTACAGTTGGCCAAATGTATTCTTGTAGTAACTGGTCTCTAAAAGGGGTAGGGTTTCTAAAAACGAAAAAGTAAGATAAGTAATAGAAATATGAACAAATATACTCGCACATACAGGGTGTCTCATTAAGAATGGTATACAGAACAACTAACGATTCTCTGATTAAAAATAAGGCGATTAAACAAAACACGCTTAGATAAAATTTTGTTAGTTTTCGAAATACAGGGTGTTAAAGTTGAAAATTCAAAATTTTTTGATGACTATAATTTTTTTATTACTTAGTATAATTTTAGTAAATTCAGCAAATACTTTTGGTGTCATAAGATACCTCTATCAGCAGAAAAATGAGGCAAATAAACTTTGACAGTCTCGTACCCCCTCTAAATTTTACGCTTCTGTTCAATAACTTATTTAGACAATAATTTTAAATTTTTTTTGAAATTTTTTAAATAAATCAAGTACTATTGTTGGAAACTCATAAAGTGATTCACACTCAAAGGTAGACATTTTTCATTTTAATTTATTTTTTATATTTGTAATTTTCGATTTTTTTTTAAATTACCAACAAGAGTAGGTACACTATTTATTAAGAAAACATCAAAACATTTAAAATTAATTTAAATAATTTTTGGAAAATAGCGTAATATTTAAAAATGAATAAGATGTATTTACCCATGCCGTACTCTACTGGCAAAGTTTATTTGAATGATTTTTTGCTGATAAGTGTATCTTATGGTACTAAAAACGTTTGCTCAATATATATTTTATAAAAAAATACAAATTTTCATAATTAAAAATAAATTAAAATGAAGAATATCTACGGTTTAGTGTCAATATCTCAAAAACCAATCATTTTATGAATTCTTAACAAGAGTAAATAAATTATTTAAAAGACATAAGAAAATGTAAAAGTATAGTCCAAATAAGTTTTTCGACAGTGGCGTAAAGTTTAGACAGTGAAGGTGTTACCTATCTATGCCGAACGCCACTGGCAAAGTTTATTTAACTGATTGTTCCATTGAATTTTCAATTTTTACACCCTGGGGGATACAGTGTTCGGTACCGTATCCTCGACACTCCTAAAATATTGGAAAATGAATTTCCAATTCGGAATTGTTTTATTAAATCAAATAAATTGTTTAAATACTCAAGTTAAAAAATAAAAAGAAAATATGAAATAACTAAAACAGCAATATCAGCACCCCCTGTATATTGGAAAATATGTTTACTATCAAATAAATTGTTTAAATACAAGGTAAACAATAAAAAGAAAATAAGGTATACGAAATAATTAAAACGGCAATACAGCACTTTCTGTATATTAGAAAATAACTTTCATATCAAATACATCGTTTAAATACAATTTTTGTTTTTTGTAAGAGTCATTATTGTTATAAATATAATCCAGTGCTTAAAATGTTATAGTTGGTAATATTGACTGTCACCTGTTTCTCATTTGTCAACGTCAAGTGTCATTTTTCAGTAGTTGTTAGTTAGTAATTCGACGAGATTGTTTCGTTATAAGTCGTTCTTTAAGCAGCCATTTTTGTATAACAGTGGTTATAATAAAGTTTACTTGGTTAATAAAATTATTATCAGTATTGACTCTGTTTACTTTATTAAAGAAGTTGACATGTCGAGAATTCAATCCACATTATAACAATTATTGACTAACCTACAATTTTAATCTAAAAATCTTATAAACTAATTATTTATTTAAGTCCCCATGTCTTGTTTCTATAGGAAAGCATCACAAGTTGGCGTGACGATTTATTACACTGTTCTACACTAGCACTAACATTAACGTTGACTGCACTAGCTCAAATGTCTTCTTTCTTTTGGAATCTTATTTGGGTCGGTGGGTCAATAGGTGGGTTTTCCACAAGATTGGTATGTACAACCCAATTCTGATGCAGCTCGATGCAATTCTTTTCCTTTGATTGTGGTTAATCTTGAACCCCAGTTGGTGTTTCTAGGGTTGTAATCTCCACTGATTATAAATTTGTTACCTAGTTTTTTGAGTACATTGAGATATTTTTTTTTCTGGTTGTATCTTGGTGGGTAATAGGTTGCAGTTATTGTCATTTTGCCCCTTAATGTTAATGGTGCTAATGGTTACCTGCTTTTCTGGTTCTTATAAGTCTAGTTCCTTATAGTGGGAAATATTATTTTTAATAATTAACGCACTTCCTCCTTTTGCTACATTTGATGGATGGATAGTGTGATAAAAGTTTTATTCTCTGAATTTAATGTATGACTCCCTTGTAAGATGGGTCTCAGAAATCAGGCATATATCTGTTTTTTGTACTTTCAAGGAAACTTGGATATCAGTTTGTTTTTGGAGAATACCATTGGCATTTTAAGTGGCTATTTTAATATATTTTTTTTTGGCCATTGGTGGTTTTGTTGTATATTAGGGGTTTAGTTAATTCTTCTAGCTTCTCGAGCCTGTCAGAGAGTGAAACTATTCTGGTTATTAAGGATAATAATAATAATTTATGAGTGGTACTTTCTGCTAGGCTGGCTGACTGTGCAGTATGCTGTGCAAATTCTGGTGTGTGATTTGTGGCTGGTTGTGACCTTGGAATTGGTTGCTCCTGTGAGTATGTTACCTGAGATATGTTATTTGATTTCTGACAGTAGGAAAAGCGTCTATGGGTCTCTTCGGTCTCGTCATTATTTTAGGTTTAGTGGTGTTATCCATCCTTATTTGAAAGGATGGATTAAGCAGTTTATACACTTCGGTTGTTATTTTGGACTTTTTACACAATCCTTTGTATTATGTTTTCCTACGCACTTTACGCATCTTAATTCTCTTTTGCAAAAGTTATGTGTATATCCAAATAGCTGGCAGTTTTTGCATCGCTACACACTACACAAATCGCCAAAATTCTTAAACCCCCTTGTTTGTCAAAATGAAACACTATTATTAAAAGTCAAGTGTGTTACATAGTACATTTAATTTGATTATGTATCCAATACAAATTGACCGAATTAAATTTTAACGGAACAAGAAAAAAATACAAACGAAAAATAGTGCATAATAAAATGATTACTACAATTTGAAATCCAGAAGAAAACCTTTTTAGAGCGAAATCAAAAATTCATTAATATTCGGTGTGTCCTCCCCTGTTCTGTAGTAAGGCATTAACTCGCCTGTGCATGAAAACAATAAGGGCGTTAATGTAATCCATTGGGATGTTGTTCCATTCTTTTTGAGCCGCGACTGTGAGTTTCTAGAGGGTGATAGTAGGATTAATTCTATTTGAGATTGCTCCTTTACCGAAATCCCACATGTGATTAATGGGATTTATATCTTGCAAGTCTGCTGGCCAGATAATCTTTGAATATCCTGGTGCATTTTGTACCATTCTCGTGCGATTGGGCCTAGGTCATCCATGAAAATAAAAATTGGCTCCAATTTCATTTCAGAGAGGATAAATAATGGGTTCAATAATGTTTCGAACATTTCTATCAGGTGTCATAGTATCTGGAATGGAAATAAGCTGCATACGACGACCATGAATTATGCCTCTCTGGCCTCTCTGGCAAAAGATAGTCTTTCTGGTCGCCCTGGCCATCTCCAAACTCTGTGTCGCCGACTGTCACTAATTAAACTATATCTGGTTTCGTCCGAAAAAAGAACATTTCGCCACTGAGCTAAAAGACAGTCTCTGTGTTCTTGTGCACACTGTAGACGAGCAGCTATATGTCTGAGAAGTAACCTGGATACTCTTAATGCTCTCCTAGATCGTAAAATGGCTCGAGCAAGCCCCGCGCTGTATTGTGGTGCTGAAAATGAATCGACCATACGTTCTTCTAAAATGAGTTCGGACAGTTGAGACTGTTACGGTTCGATTCCGACGTACATTACCTGCTACATACCGATCTTTTCTTGGATTAGTTACCCTAGGACGCTCAGTCCCACGTCTCCAGTCAACGCTGTTAGTTTCCTAGTACAAACGCACTATTCGAATAACTAAAGCGCGAGGAGTCCCTAATTTATTCCTGCTCTACTAAATACTGAAATTCTATTGCCAGGCATAGTTGCAAAGAAAAACTCAACAATTACTTAAACACGCAAAATCGATATGAACCACTTTGTAAACATTGGTACCTAAAATTGTGGGAAATTGTTTTTGTAAACATTTTTAGATGCGTATGAACGGTGAAATACATAAAGATTAAATGTACAAAAAAGTAGCCATGATTTTGTTTTAATATTTACGACGGGGGTCCAAGAATTTTGGCGATGTGTGTAGTTTTGACTTTTTTATGATTACTATTCTGTTAGATTAAGTATTGCTTTGATTTCGTAGATTTTCTTGATATCTTCATTATTTTAAAAGGATAACATGAATAGCGGCAACCATTGTTATCGACAATGAGTGTTATCCTCGGTTATTTCTTTTTCCCTCTTTATTATATTGACATCTTCTTTACATTTTAATCCTTGACTTTGCAAGCCTCAAACAATATCTTTTGGTTTAGATGGTAGATGGTAGACCTCTAATCATTATTTTAATGTCTCTGTTCTGTTTAATTTCATAGGAATACCAACTTATGTCTTTGGCATTTAAGGTTGATATGACATTTTTGATAAGTTATTAATTTTAAACTGGTTATTGCTTAGAGGGGTGGCTTGAAAGGAAATATTATTTTCTGCCAGTGTATGGCGCAATTCTTCATTCTTATTGATGTTGCTTGCTAATATCGGGGGAAATTTCACTTTTTTTTTGGCTGCTTCTTTCCCTTGTTGTAGATTTTTGCTACCTCCAGGTTGGCCAGAAGAAGTTTCTGGAGATGAGTTGGCTTTTCGTTTTTTTCTTCTATTGTTTCTGCTTTCTGCTGTTATTCATTCTACTTCTTTGTTAATTTGATCGCCAGTTCTTCTTCATCAGTCTCATAATTCGTTAGACTTTTAAAGTTTCTTTAAGATATTAATTTATTTTTACATATTTTCCATATTGTTTTGCATTTGTTGCAATGCACTTTCTAGTTGCTCTTTTTCAGCTTTTTCCTGTATCCAGGCATTGTACAATGTATGTTCATTGTGACTTCTAGCTTAATTTATATGAAATAATGCCTCATACTATTGTGCTAGGAGATTTTCTCCTACTTCTATTAAATTATTTGTTTGATTTACCTGAAGCAGATCCTGTTTGTTTGCTCCAAAGGCACTTCGGCAGGTGTCGATTCTGTTTTGTTATTTTTTCCACACATTGTAAAACTATTTTTAATGGCACATTATTATTTTTATTTTTGTTCTTAAACATTACGTTTAAATACAATGGTTAAACAATAAAAAGAAAATATTGTATACGAGATAATTAAAATGACAATACACTATTTCCTGTATATTAGAAAATAACTTTTCTATCAAATGAATGGTTTAAATACAATGGTTAAACAATAAAAAGAAAAGAATGTGTCCAGAATAATTAAAATGGCAATTACTGCATTCCCTATATGATAGAAAGTTAATCAAATCTTGGCTTTCGTATTTATGTCTCACCAGAAAACGAGTTCGGTTTCGGCGTAATTCCAGAGTGGAAGAAACCACCTACAGTTCGGAGAAATAAAAAAAAACGCCTTCTCACACCACTCGAATATACCTAGATAATTTACATGAAATTGAATGCTCAAATCCTTGGATTTTGGTAAATACGGCAATATTTTAATCTACGAGGGCTCTCGCAAATGTTTAAAAACGGGAATTTTTAGGAAACAAAAATACGGGGGCCCTTTGAAACGTTCCCAAACGGAAATTAATTAAAATATATATTTTTATACAGTATTTCTAAAACCAACAATTTTTTATCTAAGCTTGTTTTGTTCAGTCGTCTTATTTTTAATCAGATAATCTTCAGTTGTTCTGTGTCCCATTCTTAATGCCTATATATGACTATATTTATATAGATTAAAACCCCTTTATACCTTAAACTCACTTAAGAGGCCCAATATCTTCAAATTTGTTAAACCAACTTTAAATTGCATTTATATATAGCTTGTCTTAATTTATTTAGTTCTAAATAATTATTTCCTTTTTGTTTTATGAATAAAAAAGAATAGTTTGATATTTTTGGCTGATTTAAAGATACTTGTTTTTTAAGAGTTGAAAAAGGGTGTTTGATTTTTTGATTCATGTCTTAATATTCAGTATTAATTTTTAGCATTTTTTTTACCTAGTTTTAATAAAGTTACTCCAAATTCTCATCAATCTTCTAGCTATCAATTTATCAAATCCTGTTGGATTTAAATCTTCTAAATCGTGTCTTTTCCACATATAAAATTGTTCTTCTAGATGAGAAACACCTAAAAACAAATTAAATTCATTGGTAACAACCGAAATATATTATTTTTACTAGACATCAAGCCATGGTTATGTATAGCTATCAGCACTCGTTATTTACTCTGATGTACTAAATTACAGGAAAAGAGAGCAATATGGTGAATGTAATAAATTGAATTTATTGTTAATATTAAACCTATAATGTTTAAAATGTTTTAGGAAGCTGTGTTCATTTGCTGGAATGACTGGTGATTTTTCCAAAATCAGTTATGGTTTGGTTCTATGAGGCTAGGGTTCGCTTTCAAGAATGGACAAATTACTAAAATAAAATATAATAAATCACGCTTTGATCGAAGTTATACCTAAAAAGTTTTTAAAAAGTATATCAATTGAAGTTTCTATGTATATTTATGTTCTTAAACAAGGATCTTATTTGTACATAAATTATTAAAGGTATTTTAATTATAATAGAATATTTTTGTTTTTTTTATGATTAAAAATTTCTAGAAATCCATGAAATATCGAGTGTTTGTTATATTTTAACACTTTTTAAACCTATGTAATTTTGAAACTAGTTGAGATAATGAAATGTAGTTTTCATCACTCTTATTCTAATTTTTATATTTATTTTCTGTGTATTCATCTTTCTTTTTGGCTTACTTCCATTCTAATTGAATATGACATTTAATATTTTCAAATACAATACCTTGTATAGTTTTCTTAATTTGAAAGTCCAATATTTCCTCTTCCTACAAGTGTCATTGCTTTGTAGGGTAAGACTAGGTTGTGATTTTATTCGCTTTAAAAATAGATACTGTCATGTACATGTTACATCAGTTACATGTTACTTCAGTTGATATTTTTAAAGATGTACAATATGTACACATATTAAACTCGATCTAATACTTTATTGAACAATGAAAATAACCTGCAGTATTTATTTTTAAGAGCTTATGTTTTGTAACAATTATGAAAGTATGGCAATATTCAAAGGGGAAACAGTGAGCTATTGAACTGAAAAAAACAAATCGAAATAACAGTTGCCCTCTTTCTGAAAATACAGAAAGTAATTTCCTTAAAATGGTGGACAAAAAACGACGTATACACAGAAAAAAACTTTTAAAAATTAGAAGAATGGTGAAAACCGCTTTCCGTTATTTCAACTAGTTCAAAAGTTACATGGTAAAAAGGTTTAAAATATATTGGAACACCTGGTATAGAGATAATGAAATCCTGAGAGTTTAAAGCGTATTTATAATGGTAAGTTTGATATAAGTTTAAATTTAACGGTGCAAGTCAAGTGTGATTTTGAACATTTTCCGATAATTCGTTAATGAAAGTTAAATTGAAACTTTAAATAAGTTTTTAATTGTATACTAACAATAAGATAATTTCGTAAGTTTTCATAAAGTATGGCATATTAAGTTCATTTTTTAAAGTTTAGAATGAGGCAGATTCAAACTTCCTAAAAGTTATCAACAAATATTTAACAAACCAGCAAGGAAACTTGCATTTATATTTGTAAGCTTGCAATACATTTGCAGCGAATGTATTTTGCTTAGTGGATTAGTTTAACCAAATAATAATGCATATGAAGACTACAGGGGAAAAAGGATGAGGGTCACAATTTCAAAGTTTTGAGTAAAACGCATTTTAAAATTCAAAACCTTGTATTTTCCTAATGTAAACTTTTTCGGAAATAACAAATTTTTAGGTAGTTAGCCAGTTTATTTTCTTTCGAAAAAATAACTTGTTACTGATTTTTTTTAAATATAGGTGTCCGAACAAAAAATAAAATGAGGTTATGTACATAAAGTCAGGAGAAAAAAGATGTTGGTCCACAAAAAAAATATAATTTTAGTCGCATCGTAAATTCTCAAAGTAAAGTTGAGCTTCTAGACTACAAAAACGTTTTAATTCCTGCAAGTTCTGGTGCTTCTTAGTATTAATGGGAATCCTGTCTTGATATTTCAAATCTGGAAGTTCAAATTGCCCTGAAGGTAGATCTGAAAATGCAGGGGCTGCATTGCCTCCATTTTTTGATTTATTTCTAACTTGTTTCCCTTTTTTGAACGTGGCCTGTTTTTTCTTTGTTGGTACTACAACACTTGAGATGAATCCTCCATTGTAAGAGTCGCGATGATCGATCATTCTGGGTTCTTCTTTTTTTTATTAGTAATTTCCTTATTGGGCGACTTTCAAAGAGACACTTCAGGACGTAATAACTTTTCAGATGATCAGTCCAGCTTCGAAAAATCTTTTGGTCTTCACAGCTAATCACTTTAAAAGGGCTTGATTTAACGCGGGAATTACGAACGTGATCATCCCAACCAGAGGGAAGCTCGACATAAGCTTTGGAATTAATTAAGCCCATATTGCGATCACATTCCATGTAGCTGTGTCCTCTAATAGGAAAAACCATTTTTACACACTGAAGTCGACCTACTTTGTAAACAATATAATGAAGCAGTCGGAACAAGGTATAATTTTTGTTCTGTCCATAACACGAATCACAAAAAATAACAAGTTCTTGAACTTCTGGATTCAATTCATTGATAATGTAATGAAACAGAATGGAGGCTACTTCATCTGATCCTTTCTGGGCCGCTGTTTCCGTATAAGTATAAAAAAACGCTTCACCGCTGGCCAAAACGTGAATGTTGAATAAATAGAATGCTAATTGCCTGTTGTAGTATACGTCATTAGTGCTAATATTGGGCAGTTGCAAGTTTTTTTGATAGTCCATGGTAATGGCTTCAATATGACCGTATTGTTGAGCTCTCTTGCGTTCGGATCGTTTTCTTTGGTAAAAAGACTCAGCCTTCTTAAGATGAAGTTGTTGATTCATATCTAGTGCAGATGAATTTGAAGCCTGTGATGAATTTGATTTTTTTGCCTTATATTCATCGCAAGTGTTGCATGTTTCACTACGCGGGTAACCAAAACTGATGTTGAATTTGTTTATAAAGATGGAACGATATGATTCATATGAAATTGACTTCGTCGGATGTACTTCCTTAAACATCTGGAACATTTTTTTTTATGTTCAACTCCTCTGGCAAGTAGATTTTTTTAGACTTATGAAGGCTATAGTGTGACTGTCTACCTTTAAATGACCGAATATGACCACAGACCGTATCGGTTGTTCCTTTATCTAGCTTATTTGGCCGATTGGAATGTCGACCCCGACAATCTTCACCAGCATGTCCATCTTTAACAAGCTTTTGTTGAATATTTAAGGTGCTTTGCTGATATTCCATGTAGTGAGAGCATTGCCTTGTAGCAAATAGGAATTTCTTGGGTACCGTTTTCCCGCATCACTCTAACCTTAAAACAAATTAACTACTGCAAAGAAAGTAACGACAGTAAAATAATATGTATTACCTTATATTTGTAGGAGAAAGAATGATATATTACATTTTCATCGTAAGCTTTTCTTTGGCGACGTCTTTTAAGTGGTTCGTGCAAAATGAGACCTGCTAAATACAAGCTCTGCTCATTATGCGATTTCATTTCATTGAAGTTTCTTATAATCGCCAAACGGTCTTGAACACCAATAATATTGAAAGATTTTAACCTTGAACACTGACAACTGATACCGGTTTCATGTGTTTGCAATCTCAGTTTTTTCGAGGAATCAAAAACACTTCCGTGTTTTGGTCTTTTTTTAGTTAGGGACTGCACATCAAAATCAGCCATCTTAAAAATTCCGTGGAAAAACACGTGTACCACAATACTCGCACGTAACCTAATTGGGCTTAAAACAAAAGCGAACTAATTCACTTCGCTGCTAAACTTGTACTGAGTGTACTGGCCGAAGGTCACAGGCAAGCCTGTCTATAGTTGAAAGTTTTTGGACTCTCATCCGTTTTGCGTAAATCGAGTGGACTGTCATCCTTTTTCCCCTGTGCGGTATAAATTAAAATGCATTTTTACACGGTACTCTCATCTGTTTTGCTCTTTATAGTGTGATAGACAGAAAGTAACGGCGGTTGGTGGTGATTTGCCGTGTTTATCTCAAATCCTAATTTTTTAGACCCTCATCCTTTTTTCCCCGTTGTCTTCATATATTGATATTAAAAGCGAAAAAGTTTTATTTTTATTTGTTTGCTTTTCGCATCTGGTGACATTATGCAACTGGTTACGTAAAGTAGATCATTTTGACACTTGCTGCGATTACAAAAATGTCACTTTATATGTCAAAATACGTATTTTATGTATTAGTATTATTATATTGTTTTTTACCTGAAGTAAGTCTTGAATCTCTAATTAGCTTATGAAGTGTTTTTATACCATAATCGCTGCTATAAGAAAACAAGTAGAAGTAAATTGGTGTGTATTTTGAAATTAGTTGAACAGTTTTTTGAATTGGCCTAACGAAACGATCGTCTGATGTATACTAAAAAATAAATCATTTATAAAATTATAGAGCATTGATGACGAAAAGATAATAATTAGATATTAAAAATTAAATGACAAATAATTTCTTTTACGGAAAATTGCGGAATTTTTATGGTTTTCAAAAAATTAGAGAAACCACAAAGAGTGTATTAACATTATTTTCTTCTTGTATCGGAATATCCATTTGCCCGTTATATGAATATGTAAAGATTTTTTTAAGTGAAATATAATACCTTATTCTCGAAAATCCAGAAAAGCTTAAAATAGGATAAATTGAACGTTTTAAAAATAATACAGTATTTCCGGTTTTTTCCTACATTACCTGTAACAATTGGTCGATATTAGCACCAATATATCCTTCAGGAAAATAGAAATTTAATATTTTTCTTCCAGCCTCTCTTCGATCTCTTTGAGTCCTTATATTCATATCCTTACTCGGTAAAGATCCAGGACTAATATCGTATATAATATTTAATGGACTAATCAGAAGTAGAACTAAAAAATTAACATATTTATTTGATTTTAAGTTTTTGTATTATTTATACAGGATTAACATAAGTGTTGGAACACCTATAATTTTTAAAATTTATAAAACATTATTTAAGAAAAGAGAGATAGAGTATACAGGGTGTATCAATAGAAACTCCCAGGCCGGATATTTTGGTAAGCAATAGAGATATTTTAATTCCGTAAAAACCAGATCATAGAGCGCTAAGAGAGCTTCAGTTTTAGATATAAATTAATTTTAAATAGGTCAATATGTAGATGGCGCTGCGCTCAATATTTCTATTTCGATGTGTGGATCTTTCTTGTGTAGCGCATCTTGTAAAAAATGCATTTTAAAGCAGATTTTGTTCTATCAATTAATTCGATAAATCTAGCCATTTTCGATATACAGAGTGGGTCACTCAAAACAGTTTCATCCTGTTTTTCAGCATTAATCATTGGAATTTAAGAAAATGCCAAAATAGGTCGATTTTTATTCCAAATTAAAAAGATTTTTACAATACAGACACATGTCATGTATCAACCCCCTCCCTCGCTCTTCTCCAATACCTTAATTTTAAATAATGTACCATGTATGGCACTGAAAAAGTAATTTAATGGGGGATTCAGAAATATTTCTGTACATTGCGTTACTTAAATTTTATCGCCCTCTAGCGGGATAAAAAACTACTACGTACACGGAAAAAAATTGTAGAAGAAATTTCTACAATTATAGATTTTTTCTCTACAATAAATAGTACATATAGGGACAGGGACAATTTGTAGTAAAAATTTCCAAATATTTGTGGAGAATGTATTGTAGAGTTATTATCTACAATATTTAGTAAAAATATCCAAATGCATCATAAGAATTGTTCTACAAATTGTTATAATTTTTGCTATTCATTGTATGAATTTATATTAAAAATGTATTGCGTATTATGAAAATAAATACGAAAATTTTACACAATAAATAGTAAAAATTCATACAAATTGTAGTAATTTTTAATAAAACTTGTAGTAGTATTCCATAATTATTATAATTATAACCTAGAAAAAAATGTTGCTTAATAAAATATTCAATTTATTGTTTTAATATAAAAGATACAAAGTCTTAATTACATTATGTAATAAATAACAGTAATAATAGCACCCTCAGTCTCAGTTGGCTTTTCTGCACCTGAAAAATATGAAATAAAAATTAATAACAATTGAACTGTTCATACCCTTAAAACGGGGATATTTATCACCTTTACACTGATTTGGATATTAAATGACTAAGTCAGATAACTAACAAAAATGAGAAAGTAGGTATGTCACAAATAAAACAAAAAAAATCATTGAATTTGGCACAAAATTCGATCTTGGGCACAACATTCGATCGTTGGCCACAACTATTTTTTTTTAAATAATCTACTAAAGTTATTTAAATTAGTTATCTAAAGGTAAATTATTCAAAAACAATAAATGTACTTACCACCAATAGAATTTATTATTAAAATTTTCTCAAACGCATCGGTGCTTATAATGTAATGTGTTATAGGTACTCGTATATGTACCATGCTTTGTTATGTGAACATGGCGAACGGCTACTGCTGTCTGGCCATTTATGATCGACGTCAGAAAACGTTGGCCAATAGCAGAATTCTGTTTTGTTCACATGACTTAGAATTTCTACAATATTATAGAATATTTTTGAACAAAATTGAATATTTTTCATAAGAAGGAATGTAAATTATTACTATTTTTTGTAGAGAAAATTACTATTTTTGTAGAGATAATTATTAATATTTGTACAAATTTTTTCAGAAGTTAGTAGTAGTAATTACGATAATTGTAATAAATTTCTACTTCTACAAACAATAGTAAAATATACTAAACATTGTGGAATTCTTTCCTATTGTTGTAGCATTTTATTCGACAATTCAATTGCTACAATAATGAATAGTTTTTTACTATAAATTGTAGTAAAATTTTCTACAAATTGTTAAGTATTTTTCTACAAGTCTACTACTACAACATTGTAGTAAAATTTTCTAGTCACATTTTTTTCCGTGTATTATAGAGTGTGACACTGCTGTAGTACATCATTAAAAAGTAATTTTATGGGGAATTTAGAAATATGACTGATCATTGCGATACTTTTAATTGTACCGCCCTCTGTCGGGATAAAAAAACTGACGTATTATAAAGTGTGACACCTTATTTGAAAGCAAATTTAATTACTAATTCAATGCACTACATAATATTAATATAAATATCCTCCATATTGCACTTGCAATAGTTTTTAAATTAGTCATGCATTATTTTAAACATTATTGCTAACTTTATTTTGTTGCAAGTGCAATATGGAAATATTTATATTAATGTTATGTGGTGCATTGAATTATTAATTAAATTAGCTTTCAAATGAAGTATCACACTTTATAATACGTTACACGTTTTTTTATTCCGATAGAGGGCGCTAAAATTAAAAGTATCGCAATAAACCGTCATATTTCTGACTTCCCCATAAAATTAACTTTTCAGTGATGTGCCGTACATGGTACATTCCTTATTTAAAATTAAGGGGTTGTAAAAATGTGTTCAATTTTGAATAAAAATCAACCTGTTTCAGCATTTTCCAAAAATCCAATTATTAATGCCGAAGAACAGGATGAAACTGTTTTGAGTGACCCACTCTGTATATCAAAAATGGCTAGATTTATCGAATTATTTTATAGAACAAAATCTGCTTAAATATGAATTTTTTTCAAGATGCGCTATATTAGATAGATCCTCTCATCGAGAAAGAAATATTGAACGCAGCGCCATCTACATATTGACCTATTTAAAATTAACATATATCTAAAACTGAAGCTCTTTTAACGCTCTATGATCTGGTTTTTACAGAATTAAAATATCTCTATTAATTACCAAAATATCCGGCCTGGGAGTTTTTATTGGTACACCCTGTATACTGAAATATTTTGGACTTATAGCGTAAGTGAAATTTGTCATGTTTGTAAAAAAAATTTGTTTGTGCTGTATTAGAGTGAAATGACATTGTTATTCGTAGAAAATGCATTTCTTGTGGGTTTGATCGAGCGGGGTTTGAACAAAGGCGGTTTAGGAAGTACTGTGTTTAAATGTAAGAATTTATTGTTAAATTCAAACAGTAACTATTACAGTGGTAGAAGTTTGAATAGTTTGTGACTTTAGAAATATACAAGGTGATCAATTTATACTCCAAACTTTGATATCTCCGTTATTTTGTGGGATACGAACCAATGTTTTAAATACAAATTATAAAGTACAGCTTCACATATTAAAATTATTTCATAATATACAGGGTGTTTCATAAATTCACAGCATACTAAAGTTATTTTTTTTAGTGAAACACCCTATATGTTATCTCTAATTTGAATTTTGCTCATTTTCCCCATTTCGGCAATATAGGATTTTATCAGGTTCTACAGGGTACTTTTAAAGAAATGGCCACTTTTATGTGAAAATCTTAATGAAATCGTTATCCTGTATTATTTAGAATCAACAATTAATAATAATAATAATTTATTTTCCACAAAAAAAAATATAAAAATAAATACAGATTTACAATAGTAAATTTAAATTGGGTTTAAATTGGGCCACTATGGCAACACGTTTACTAAACGCATTTAATACTGCTTTCATCGGTCAGTATAATTTCATTGATAGTGTTTTAGCCCTGATATATTCAAATTTTGTAGTGGGAGTAAATTTCTGATTGGTGCTTCCAAGGTCATGCTGGTGGGAAGTTTTTTGTATCATAAGTAAATATCTAAAAATAAAAATTAAAAAAAAAACGATTATAAATAAATATTGTTTTTTGCATTATAATAAAATATTATTTGATTTTTTTGCCCTTTATAACAGAGACATCGGTCTGGTAGCGAAGGGGTTAACGTGTTTTTCAAGCTGTCAATTGCCAACTCTACGAAATTTTCAGTGTTTACCAAGATGTTTTTAAGCAGATTTTAATAGCACTATAGACAGAGTCACACTCCATTTGAGTGTGACCCTTTATTAAAAATCGAACAAACTCTACGACTGTAACATTTAAGTATAGGCAATGCTTAACAAAAGTAGAAGTATTTTGTAAGTAGTTTATGAAAATGATATAAGATACTATTTGAAATAACCGAGAAAATCATGGTCATGAGTTTTGGGTTACCCTGTATACAAAATGAAAGACTATCAATACTACTACGAAATTATTCTGGCCTTGAGATATTTAGCCCCAATTGATAATTCTAAATAATATAGGGTGACGATTTCATTAAGATTTCATTAAGAATATCCAAAGTATAAGTTGATCACTTTGTATAATAAATATTTAAATTCTTGTTTTTTGGATGTGCCCACATCAGCATCACCGTAATAACCGCAGGGCGCGGTTTGAAAATTCAACAAATATTATGGGTTTTATTAAAACTTTTAATTAATAACACTCCCTAATTTACCAAAGGAAGTTGACTATGAAAAATGTGAGGACCGGTAACTATGCTTAAATTATTTTACCTGAGACACCAAACAAAACAAAAAACCATGTTGCCAGCAGATGTACTGGTTCCTTTCCTTTTCCCTGCCCTTCTCCCTGCTTTGCGATGTGTCATAGCGCTCGTAATTCAAATGGTTGCTCGTAGGTAATGACAGGCACATGCCAGGTTATGATATGGCAACACTGTGGGCCTGTTAATTTGACAGGGTCAATGATGTAAACAGTTGTATAGATTGATCAGTCATGTTTTTCGAAATAATCATAAGCTGATGCCTTGTAGGTAATTATTTTTTTACTATATTCAAAGTTTGGAAATTGGTTCTAGATATGGCCGCTTGCAAAACGGCCCGCTTTGAAAATGAAAGTAATTAAAAGTGTTTACATACTTTAAAAATTTGTGTGGTTGATGGTATGGCACTTGTTCATCGGATCCAATTAAAAAATGTCAATACCTTTAGCGATTTTGCTTAGGCATTCTTCAAAAGAATCCATAATCTTTTCTTGCAGCCGAAGGTAAAAAGAATAGATATAATGATATTTCG